GGTTATGGGTTTTGGAGAAGAACACGTAGAGAGAAGGTACCTGTTTCATCATGGCTCCAATTTTATTATGAATGGGAAGGAATTCCTCGGCTCCTTCTGATTGGGTTCTCCTTTGGGCAGAGGGAAGGGACATCCACAAAGCTGAAGGTAATGTTCAGCCAATGGACTTAGACCATGGCCTTGGATAGGGAGCTGGTCAGAGGCAGGCAGAGCAGTGCCTGCAGTCCAGCATGGACTGGATAGTAGGGGAAAGTGAGGTGGGGCTCAGGGAAGGAGGCATAAGAGGAGCTGCAAGGGAGGACTTGGCAGATGAGCAGAAACCCCAAGAAATATTGCTCTTGTACCCCAAGAGCACGGTCAGCCTTAGTCTGGGGTACAGAAGGTCAGGCACATTCAGGCTGTTTTACTCCTTACTTGTGCTGGTGCAGCCAAAGACTGGGGACCCTGGCATTCCTTTTGGACTACCCTCCATGCCTGCGTGGAGGAAAGGCTTGCAGCCGTGGAAAGAAGCCTCTGAGAAAGGAAGGCAAGGTCAGAACAGCATCCCCCAGGCATTGCTGTGCCAGCAAGTGACGGTGTCTCTGTTTCCCAAACTGCCGGTGCTGTGGCCTCGGATAAGCTGTTTCTTTGCCTGCCCTCTTGGTAGCTTTTGTCAGGAATCTCAAATGTGCCCTGGCATAGGCACAGCTGGTGGCTTAGAACTGGAGGTGCACATAGCCACACCAACGGCTTTATCTCCACACTGGGTCCCCTGTCCCTTCACTCTGAGCCATCCGGTTCCTGCCCTATCTCTTCTCTTTCCTTTTCTTCAGGTCAGGGAGCTCTGGGTGCTACCACAAGACCTTCTGGCTTCAGGAAGTTCTCCAAGGCTCTGATTTGCCCCAGGAACTCTGGGACAGTGGGAAGGGACATTGGGGATGCTGGAAAATGGACCAGGGACTAACCAGGGGACAACTATAAATAGTGCTTTTCACTCGAAGCCTGCTTTCTCACTTGTAAAATAATGGATCAGGGTTGGTTTTCATTTTCTATAGTATTTATTTGTGTATTTATTTAATTTATATTTTTCTGCAGTGCTGGGAATAGAACCCAGGCCTGGCATGTGCTACACATACACTGTACCTCTGAGCTGCATCCTCAGTCCTTGCCCTTCTAAAATTTTATATTAGTTGTGTTAGTATTTAATTTATGTTTTACAGATTACATATAATTTATATTCAATAATCAGTAAACTTAACAACAACTTGCAACAAAAATTGCTCATAAACTGAACACAGTGGCATACACTTGTAATCCCAGCTACTCAGGAGGCTGAAGCAAGCAGATCATAGTTCAAAGCCAGCCCGGGGAACCTGATGAGACCCTGTCTCAAAATAAATAAAAAGGGCTGGGGTGTAGCTCACCATAAGACCTCAGGGCATAAAATTCTTTCTCATGATCTCATCCTGGAACAACATCAGTTTTTGTAATAGTTTCTGACACTTTTCAGTCCTTTAGGTACATTCAATTTTAATGTATTTACAGTATATATCAGTCAGCTTTTCGCCACTGTGACCAAAATACTTAACATACACAACTTAAAGGAGGAGAGGTTTGTTTTGGCTCACGGTTTCAGAGGCTGGCTCCACGGCACAGACATCATGGCAGAAAAGTGGGGCAGAAGAAAGCTGCTGAAGTCATGGTGTCTGTGAAGCACAGAGCAGGGGATGAGCCCAAGAGGAAAGCAACAGAAACCAGATATAGTACCCAAGGTCACCCTCCCATGACCTGCTTCCTCCAAGTATGCCCCACCTCCTAGGAGCCCATGCAGCTGTGAACTCACCAGTGGGTTCACCCACAGGTGAGATTCCTCACTGCCTTAACAATCCAGTCACCTCTCCAAGAGTTTTAATCTAGTCAGTCTGGCAATCAGGACAGTAATAACATAAATGAGAAACACTTCCAGTTGCCATCATATCAAGCACTATTTTTCCTTTTCCTACCTCCACTATCTTTTTTTCCTACTCTCAACCTGCTGTGGTAGCCAATGTTAAGACTTAGGTTGCACTCATAAAATATAGTGCATTCACACAGAGCACATGTATAAAATTTGCATTTGGGGGAGAGGGTTCATATTTGTTTTACAAAACTAGGACCGTAATATATGCATTTCTCTGAAAATTGCTTTTTGTATTTAGTCATATGTTCTGTAAATCTATCCAGGCCAAGAGATACAATGCTACCTGATTCTTGTTCAATGGTACATAATTCCAAGTTATGGATATCAAAATTTATTCAACCACTCTATGGGAGATGGTAACCTAGGTTGTTTCTGGTTGTCCCCTCCTGCCACCAAAGCAGTGCTGCCATAAGTATCTGAATAAATAATTTATGAACCACTACTTCCATTTCTGCAAGTATAAAATCCCAGAAGTGGAACTTCTATGTCAGAAATCATATTTCCTTTTTAATTCCCAAAAAGAATGGTAAAAGTTTGTGTCTACACAGGTAGCACCTGAGTATTCTTTCCCCACAGCCTCACCAACACTTGTATTTAGCAGTCTTTTTAATGTTTGCCAGTCTGATGAGTGAATAATAGCATTTCAGTACTACTTTAATTTGCATGAATTAGTAATGTGGGGATGCCTTTCCACATGTTTATTAGCTCTTCGGATTTCCTCTTCTGTCAAGAGCTATTCACAATCTGCCTATTTTTTCTCCTGGGTTTGTCTTTTTCTAAGGAGTATGTTGGAGCTCAAAGTATTAACCTGCCTTCTGTCATATGTGGTACAAATATGTTTTCCTAGTCTATCTTTTTTTCATATATAGGGTCTCACTATGTAGCACAGGCTGGCCTTGAACTCACTATGTAGCCCAGGCTGGCCTCAAACTCACAGTGATCTTCCTGCCTCAGCCTCCAGTGTGCTGGGATTACACGCATGTGCCATTTTTCCATACGAAATGTTTTCATTTTATATATATATTAATTCATAGCTTTGCACTTTTCTGTCTTGTTTTTAAAATCTCCCAAACTCATATATGCTTGTTTTCTTCTGAAAGTTTTCTCATTTAGACATATACTTTCTTGGCATTTATTTTTGTCAAATTAAGATAGGTGCCAGTATTACCTTCAGCTACAAGGAGAGCTAATCTCAGCATTTCAGTCTATTACCTCAGAGTCTAGGGGCTCCCAAAATGCAGCAGGGAGGTGGCTAGCAAAATTGAGGCTGGGATATCTAGGAAGAGACTGTAGACTTCCCATCCCCCAACCACAGAGCTGTTCTGGCTTTGTTATTTCACAAAATGGGCTTCTAATGAGGGTTTAGTTTGGACAAATGTTCTTAGTTCAGGCTAACAAAGTCTGAAGACCCTTTTCATATAATCTCTGGAGACTTTCCAGTTCTGACATTCTCTGGTTCCACAAAGCCCAGGATGGAGACCAATCAGTAAGAGAGAGTAGGTGACAGATCCCTGTAGCTTCATCCAAAGGTGACTGCAGTATTAACTCCCAGGTTGGCTCAGTGTGGCTATCAGGATCACAGCATTTCAGAGCAAGAAGGGACCTTAGAAATCTAGTCTAGTGATTCGGGATCCCTGCTCCCTGTGTTGGTTACTTTTCTTTTGTTGTTGAGATAAAATACCAGACACTCAAAATTAAGAAAGGAAAGGTTTATTCAGCTCACAGTTTGTGGCAGTTTCATTTCATAATCATCTGGCTCCAAGGCAGGGTGGCATATAGCAAAGGGGAAATAGTTCATGGTGGCTGAAGACAGCAAATCAACAAGAGCAAAAAGGGAGGAGAGCCAGAGAAGACTCTTTCTGTCCCTTACATTGCATGCAGGCTACCCGCCCTAGGGTGGGTGTAGCCATCACACCCATAATCCCAGCTCTAGACAATAAATCAATCACAAACTCTAGATTCAGCTGCCTTTTTTTTTTTTTCAGCTGCCTTTGAAAGGCACTCCCCATGACTGCATGAAGCTTTGGGGGGACATCCAGACACAAATCATAACACTCCCTCTTTTTATTTTAAAGAAGAAAAAAAAATAACAAAATAATAACAATGAAGACAAAAACAATAAAAACAATAAAGGATTTCAAAACAAGATGATAGGAATTAACAATGGTTGTTATATTACATATTGTTATCTTCAGTGAAGTTGCTCAGATTAACAGATGTAAGAATGCAAGATTGACCAAGCGATTAAAGACAATAATAAATAATAAAAAAATTAGAAATGATACAGAGCTTCATTAAACAAGATGGTAGGAATTCAGCAATGGTTGTTATACTGCATATTGTTGTCTTCAAATTAGTTGTTCAACACTCCTTTTTAGAATCACCTGGACATTTATAAAAGGTCCTGGTCCCATGGATCCTGCCAAATCAGATGACTTAGAGTCCTGAGGGTAGAACCCAGGCAGTGGTATTTTTAAAAATCTGGTGATTCTAATATGCAGTGATATGTATTGTATCACTGGCCAGCTATAAAGTTGGTCCTGGAACTCAAATTCCTGCTTCCTGGGTTGGCTTCCTCTTTTATATCAAACCAATCCTTCACCAAATACCATGCCTCAGAGTCTTAGCTGGCAAGATGAAAGTCTCCATCTAATGCTCTGTGTCTTTGCATATGATCGGTTTGAAGATGTTTAGTGCATGCAGATCTTGCAGGACCTTAGCAGGGCACAGCATCATGAAGAGCTGGGAGAAGAGATAGAGCAGGACAACTGGTAAACCCTCCCTACAGTGATGGGGGTCCAGAAGCAGGGAGCCTGGGCTGGCCATGGAAGCTGCCTACAGCAGGTGGCATTTAAAGTGCGCCTATAGATGACTGAAGAAAACTTGGATAGACACGACCCAGTGTGTGCACTTCCCTGCAGCAGTATTTGGCCACCCGTGTCACACAGGGGCTCAGGTGGCAGAGAAGGGTAGCAAGGGGTGAGACAAGAATGCATCAGCATGGGGCAGAGCTGGCCCAGTCTGGTTCACCATGCTCTGACCTTCTCTGTTCTGCCCACAGGAATGAGACCGTGCTGCACCAGTTCTGCTGCCCAGCTGCTGACGCCGAGCAGAAGCCTGCCTGCTCCGACCTGGCCTCCCACAGGTGGGACCCGGGGGCCCTTCCTCCCCACGTCCGCCCACAACCTTCCCTCCTCTCAGCACATAATTCCTGGGCCTTCTCTGGAGTCTGGCGTGGCTTTGTTTGTTTTCATCTCCTTCCCCTCGTCCACGGCCGTACCACTCTGAACACGCCCGATGCCCTCATCCCCTTCCCCCCTTTCCGTCTCGCTTTCCTTCCTCAGGACCCAGATGAACCATTCCTAACATTTGAGGTCATCATGCCCTGTCATTCAAATCCCAAACGCATGCTTCTTCCTTCTAAGGGGCTGATATAAAATATAATTTTGATAAACACCAAGGGATACTATTCTGATAGCACACATGTCATATGGCGGAGTGTTTGAGCTCAATGGACCCCAGACCTTCCTACCCTCCTCTTACACCAAAGATTCACATTTTTCTTTCTAACTTCCTCCGTCTGTGGAGGAGCCAGGGTGACTGGCTTAGTTTTGAGGATTTCTCAGCTCTGGCTGAGTTGGCCGACCCCTGGGAAGGAAGGGGTTGTTGACAGGCAAGGCTCGGTGTCCTTGTTCTTCCGGGTCATCCCTACTCCTCTGTCTCCTTTCCTTGCGCGCCTCTCCTCCATGCCGTCCCTACTCTGCCGGTGCCCTCTCTGCGTCCTGCCCTGTGTGTCTCCATTTTTCCTCCTCCTTGTCCACGTGAAGTCTCCACCTGTCACTTCCATCCACTCTGTCACTTTGTTATCTTCCTTTTCCCACCACGCTTTTTGTCTCACTTCTGCAAATTCCTCTCTCTTTGACTTGTTCTGTACCTCACTTGGATTCTGGCCTAAAATGAATGCTGTCACCAGTCTCCTGATGTGAGAATGCATTGAGGCAATTTATGTAACTCCCCAGGCCTCAGTTTCCCATCTGTAGAGTGGGGCTTGATCTGTCTAGAAAGTAGCATTTACATATAGTCTCATGACCTTTCAGCTGCTCGGTGAGGTCAGACCGCCCAGGTTATTATCCTTGTCTTACGTGAGAGAAGGTTGCAGGTCCAAAGACCCACGACCTGTCTGTGCTCACTCAGTAAGTAACAACGCCTGCACTTGTGCTTGGGGCATTTTCCTCCCAGTGCTCGCCATTTTACTGTTTCAGATTCCACTACTCTATGATATTTTCCCCTTCAGTCCTTAGAAATGACTAGGTAGTCATCAGAGGTGGAGGCTGTTGACCTAGGGGTACAGAAAAGCACCCCTGGAAGGCATTGGTACTTGATTCCCCATGAGGGGAGATCAGCGGAGGCCAGAGAAGGAGGCAGGACTCTGAGGCGGAGACTATGGGGGGCACACCTTGGGAGTCCCTAAGTCTGGGGCTGAGGGAGGGATGGGAGCTCCCTGCGGCTGGTCTGGTGCTGCGTTGACCCTTTGGGTGGTCTCTGTGCCTAGTTTTGGGCCAGGCCCAGGAACTAGAGACAAGCAAGGCCCACTTGGAGCCTTGAGAATTCCCCATCTAGTGTCACAGTAGGGTACCCCCAACTGAAAATGATTCACTTAGAAATCAGAAGGAAGGAGGAAGTGGGAGAGTGAGAGGGAGAGAGGGAGAGGGGTACCCCCAACTGAAAATGATTCACTTAGAAATCAGAAGGAAGGAGGAAGTGGGAGAGTGAGAGAGTAGAGGAGAAAAAGGAGCAGTGGAGCTCCAGGAAGCACAAAGGTGGCAAGGGAGGAGGAGGTAGAAGCACTCTGGCTCTTTCCTGTGACACTTCCTGGATCTCCTTCCTAAAAATGGCCTTTCTTAGCAGGAGAGAAACTTGCCTCCCACCCCATCATGTCAGCTCACCTCAGTGAGCATGTTATGGATGCCAACTAAGAGAGGCTGTGCCCATGCTGGGTAGCTCACGCTCAGGAAGCCCAGGCCTGCCAGGGACAGGTGACAGGCGTCTCCTTCGGGTCTAGCATGCTCCTGTCACTGTCTCCTTCCTGCCCCTCATGCTCCTCCACATGCCAGCGCTCCTCTGCCTGCATGCAGCCCCGGCTCAGGCGGGAAGGGGTGGGAGGAGTTGTGGTACCCCTGCAGCATCTGAGAAGTTAGGTTATGAACAGGCAGGGGAGGGCTGTGGGGAGAGGCCCTCATGGGGGCCAAGGCTCCAAAGGACTAGCGTTGTGTCCAAGGTTTGAGGTGGATGCCAAGGAGTCCATTATCTTAGTTCCTCAAATGTTTGTCCCTTGTCTTCCCCTTGGAGGTGCAGGCGCTGAGGCTGGGGCTGGTGGTGGGAGGTGGAAGGTGGGAGGTGGGAGGGTTTCCATAACGTTCACGGAGGGACCAATAAGCCCTGCCCTTACATGTGTCTGTGTAGGGCAGAGAGACTGGCCTCCAGGACGCCTGGAGCTTCAGCTACTGTTTGTCTTCAGTCCCTGTTGTTCCAAGTCATGTGTCTGTCTGTGCGGTGTGTAATTTTCTAGAGCCTGTTTGTCTGTCTACACATTTGTCTGATGTCGGTGTCTTGGCTTCTTTGGGAGGAGGCCTGTGGATGTTTTCCTGTGAGAGAAGGTTGCAGGTCCAAAGACCCAGGACCTGTCACAGGGCATGTGTCCATTGGTCTGTTTGTTCTTGGCTTCCCAGGGAATTCTGTCCTAAGTTTTCTCCCGCCAGACTCTCAACATCCCTGCTCCCAATCTTTGCATGACCCCTTCCCACGCGGTCACTTTCCCTGAACAGGTGTCCCACCTCCAGAGAGCGTGGCCCACACTTCCCAGGGAGTCATCTAGGAGTAGGTCACAAGGTCAAGGCCCAGGCTGAGGTCCTGGCACAGGAGGGTGGGCACGGAGCCCCTGGGCCCCTCTGGGGCTGTGAGGCAAGTCCTGACTCTCCCTACTTGCCAGTCTCCTTCCCAGTTACGGCCTCCTCTGAAGACTTCGGGAATAAGCCAATCAGTCAGTCTCCACAGGCAATCCCAGTAGGGAGCCCAAAGCCAATCAGCCTGCCTTCCAGGTCTTTGGTGTGTGGATGCAGCCAGCTGTGGGAGTTCCCTGCCTGCCTCTGCGCTCTGGCTGAGGCCAAGGTCAGCATGAGTGTGCGCTGTGTCTGCCCCTCCCTGGCCTACCCCACGCTGTCAGGCTGAGAAAATGTCCCTTTCCTGAGTCTCTGAGGGCTGTGGCAGCAGCTCACCTACCTGGTCAGCTGTTTTAGCCCAGCCAACCCTCAGCCAGAGGAAACTCAGCTGTGTCCCAGAGACCCTGGGACCTCTGGCATGCTGACCAGCTCCTAAAGAAACATAGAAGCCTCAGCCCTGGAGGTTAGGACAGCCTTGCTGGGGGCTGGGACGGCCTTCCTCAACTACCTGCAGGGGAGCCTGCCAGGGAGCAATGTGGCCCAGAGTGGGAAGATCTACATGAGGAAAGTCTGAAAGCTTTTGGTGTCTGTGGAGGGGTGGCATGGGGGGGTGGGGCGTTCAGGGAGTTGCATACAGTGAATGCATCAGCCGTGAGCTGGTGAAGGGCTCTGAGGCTGGATGACCAGGCAGGATTATCCGGGGATCCACTGGGCCTGGATCCCCACATGGGCCGGAGCAGTCACCCCATGCCTACCAGGGTAATTGGCAAGTGAGGCCCCTGCAGCCCCGTGCCAGGCTTTTCCTTCCCAGAGGTGAGAGAGCTCATGTTGCCCCTCCACGCTGTTAGCTAATGGCAGGACTCTATTCTGGGGAGCTGAATAGGCTTGTAATTGCAGTCCTACTTGGATCCCACTGGTCCCCTCCCTTCTCGGCTCTCAGTGACACTGGGAACAATGACCCTGGAGCTGGCCAGCTGCCTCCCAGGTGGAGCAGAATTGCAGCCCATTTGTCTCTGTGGGCAGTAATGGGGCTGAGAGGAGGAAGATTGGCTTCTACTAAAGTAATGGGAGGAAGGGGCAGGAGAAGGCAGGGCAGGGGAGGGAATAGAGCAGCTCCTATGCTGGGGCAGCGAAGGAAGAGAGCACCTGAGTCCTGGGGGCGCTCTGAGCCCCAGCGGCTGGAAATGACTCCTTCCTTCTGATATTCCTTCTCATTCACTCCGCCCTTACTCCTGGACAGAAGAGACACTGCTCTGTGCTGAACACGCCAGGGCTGCTGCCCCATGGTCTGTGAGATAGATGCGGGACCACGGCGAAGGAACCACTACTGTGCCAATCTGGAGCTGGAAGCAAGACTCGCTCCAACATGTAGCCTCTTTCCCCAGAGGTGCTGGTGGGAGGTTTTCGGGTTTTTTTGTTTTTGTTTTTCTCAAGAGAAATCCTAGCCATTTCATTTGGTTTTAAATAACACGTGTTTCTTCTGATTATAAGGTATGCATGTTAGTGGTTGGAAATATGGAAAACACAACTATGAAGAGGAAAATAAAAATGGAATCAAATCAGATAGAATTAATTACTGTTCAGATTTGAGCATGCAAACTTCCAGTGTTTTACTTTTCTATGCATTGAGGTTTACATTTTCCTACCATCAAAACTTTTTTGTAGGCTGGATTTCCCACCTAGTGTGCTTTGTCAGTTTAGAGAGAGTCCCCTCCCTGCCCCTCCTGGGCCCCACATTGCCCTGGGCACACACATGGCTTTGTTATCTGCTCCCCAGCGGCAAAGCAGGGTCTGCAGCGAGGCCTGGGGCTTGGCTGGAAGCTGCATGGCAGGGACACCCTTCCAAGAACAGCCGTGAGGGAGAGCCCTGCATTTGCCCTCCTTAGCGTGGGCAGAACACCCACCCGCTGGCTGGGATGGGCCTGGAGCTTGATCAGTGGACCAGCCAGTGTTTACTCAGTGATTACAGGGCAATTAAATTCTCAATCGATACAGTTTAGTTCTCAGCAGCTGGGCTGAGGCGCTTTTCTGCAACACGTGCCTGCTCTAGTAGTTGCTCTGAGGTTCACTGGAAAACCTGCTGTTTCCTGGTGGAGGACAGCAGCCATCTGGGTGGCCCTGGGCCACGTGGCACTGCATGTCTTCCCTAGAGAAGTAAGAAATGCCCCTGGCCACCAACTCTGAGGTCTCTGCATAGTTGAATGGC